ATATATATATATATATGTATATATAATTATATATACAATATTATACAATTATATACACACCTATTTGTGATGTACAACCAACATAATCAACCCAAAATGGTTGGTTCATGGGATGGTTTATGGCAACCAGTGCCACTGCAGTGTGGCACGCCTTAGCAGTGTCAGTGCCATTCACAGCAGCGGCACTGCGAATTTTTGACCTCGGACAGTCAGCAGGAAAATGAGGCTTGCCACACACCGTCTCTGGCCATGCCCAAGATGTTCTCAAGGTTTGAGAATTCTGCTCTAAAATTCGCTCAAAAAGCGATCATGGATGGCTTTGGGCAAACACGTTAATTCCACAATTAAAAAAGCCTCGAAATGTGTTCCCGCAGGGTCAAGAGTTCACTGCCAAGAATTGGCTCCACATACATGTCAGCGATACTCCACCTCCCTGTTTGGGATCGGCCTACACCCCTATGAACGCGTCATGGACCCGTGATGGACCCTTTATGGACACTTGCAAGTGTTCAGGTCTCCCAAATCAAGGCCCCCGAACTCCAACTCTTCTTTCAGTTTTGTGGCTGCAGCGTTGTTTTGAGCATCCTGCTGACCCAACACGACCACGCACCTTTTGTCAAGGGTTAGAAAAGCCAAATTCATTTTGATGCTGAGCATGGTAGTGATTTCGTGCTAGAATTCGCCACAGCTATCCCGTGCAAGCTGTCTTTCGCCATGCCAACTACTTGGTTGTTCAGGGTAAATTGTCAATTCCTTGGCTGCCTTCATGAAGCTGGCACAATCAGTTGCAAAAAGAAAGCCCGTCACTGCGTGATGCGCCCAGTCCAGCTTTGGCAGAAGCTGGTTCGCATCCTCCAGGGCGGACTGAAACTTTTCCAGCCTGGGCTGTCAACTAAACGATGGTGGAGCTATCCAGTACTGCGACTTTTGTTGGATTGAAGGTGTACTCTGAGCGTTCATCTATATGTATGCGTATGTGTGTAGATAGTATGTACATGTGTAAGCGTATATACTGTATGTACACAGTATATATATATACACATATTATCTGCAGGTCCGTGTATATATGTAAGTATGTGTATATATAATATACACATATTAATATGTGATTAATCTGTGCGTAATTTCATAGTAGAAAGTCCGATTGGTGCTTTGAAACCATCCAAAACCTTGACTGCCGACCTCTAGCCTTGGAAATGTCTTGGCGCTCCGGGCTCTTTCCGCGCAAGGGCTCTCCGATACAGGGCCTTAAGGCCAGAGCGGACTAAACTGAGCGAACTACTGACACCTTGTTGCTGTAGACATTTTAACCGTTGTCAATCAGGCAAATCCAAACAGGATCTATTGTTCTGAGATTGATCTTTGAGTCATCTTCCCCATTGATTGATGTCCTCAATTGGCCCCCTGCCAAGGTGGAAGCTGAGAGGTCTATGGACTGGGATGGACTGGGTGCATCTCTACATCTACTATCCTCCGGTCCCTTTTGGCAAGTGGGTCAGCATGTTTTTTCTCTAAGAAGCGCCGAAGCCAAGGTTCAGCAAGTTTTTGGCAGACCTTCCCCTGTCCCCTTTGGCCGAGCCAAGTCATTTTTCCCTGCTTCGGCTGTGCTAAGGGGAAGCCCGGAAACCCAGGGCTCGTCTGCGGAACGCTTTAAATGGTAATTCAGAGCAGCTGATGTGCTGGAGTTGAGATTCCCTGCCCAAACCTCAAAAATCTCCCGGTCGCTTGCAATCGTCATTCCAAAATGGTTGAAGCCACCCAGCTATGATTGGCCGAACTTACTATACGATTATATCATACATGGCTCCACTGCAAACAGCTGTCATGGCTCCAGCACGGCTGGTCGGACCTTCAAGGTCGCTGCGCCATCAGCAGGCAGGACACAAATGAAGACAGGCAGGACGGCAGTTCTGAAATGAGTGTGTTTGAAAATGCGGTATTCCTTCGCCATTGAAATGGGATGTGTATGTATATCTATATATATATATGTATGCATGCATGTATGCATGTATGCATGTATGCATGTATGCATGTATGCATGTATGCATGTATGCATGTATGCATGCACGCACGCACGCACGCATGCATGCATGCATGAATGGATGGATGATTGTATGTATTGTATGTATTGTATTGATTGTATTAATAATTATATTGATTGTCTTGATTGTATGTATTGTATGTATTGTATGTATTTTGTGTATGTTGTGTATGCTATGTTAATGTTATGTATTGTATGTATTGTATGTATTGTGTGTATGTTATGTATGTTATGTAATGTTATGTATTGTATGTATTGTATTGTATGTATTGTATGTATTGTGTGTATGTTATGTATGTTATGTAATGTTATGTAATGTTATGTAATGTTATGTAATGTTATGTAATGTTATGTAATGTTATGTAATGTTATGTAATGTTCTGTACTGTTCTGTCATCTCATGTGTGTTATGTGTGTTATATGTGTTATGTGTGTTATGTGTGTTATGTGTGTGTTCTGCATGTCATGTATATCATGTATGTTATGTATGTTATGTATGTTATGGATGCTATGGATGTTATGGATGTTATGGATGTTATGGACGTTATGGATGTTATGGATGTCATGGATGTTATGGATTTTGTGGGTGTTATGGATGTTATGGATGTTATGTATGTTTTGTATGTGTATGTGTGTGCGTGTATGTGTGTGTGTATGTGTGTGTGTATGTGTGTATGTGTGTGTATGTATGTCTGTCTGTCTGTCTGTCTGTATGTATGTATGTACGTACGTACGTATGTATGTGTGTGTATGTGTGTATATGTGTCTGTGTGTCTGTGTGTCTGTATGTCTCTATGTCTCTATGTATGTAATGAATGTAATGTATATAATCAATGTAATGTATGTAATATGTGTAATGTATTTAATGTATGTAATGTAAATAATGTATGTAATGTACGTAATGTATGTGATGTATGTAATGGATGTAATGGATGTAATGCATGGAATAATGGATGTGATGTATGTGATGTATGTAATGTATGTAATGTATGTAATGGATGTAATATATGTAATATATGTAATATATGTAATGGATGTAATGGATGTAATGGATGTAATGGATGTAATGGAAGTAATCGATGTAATGTAGGTAATGTATGTAATGTATGTAATGTATGTATTGTATGCATTGTATGCATTGTATGTATTGTGTGTATTGTTTGTATTGTTTGTATTGTATTGTATTGAATTGTATGGTATGGTATGGTATGTATTGTATGTATTGTATGTATTGTATTGTATTGTACTGTATTGCATTGTATAGTGTTGTATTGTATGTATTGTATGTATTGTATTGTACTGTACTGTATTGCATTGTATAGTGTTGTATTGTATGTATTGTATGTATTGTATGTATTGTATGTATTGTATGTATTGTATTGTATTGTACTGTATTGCATTTTATAGTGTTGTATTGTATGTATTGTATGTATTGTATTGTACTGTACTGCATTGTATAGTGTTGTATTGTATGTATTGTATGTATTGTATGTATTGTATGTATTGTATGTATTGTATGTATTGTATGTATTGTATGTATTGTATGTATTGTATGTATTGTATGTATGGTTGGTATGGTTGGTATGGTTGGTATGGTTGGTATGGTTGGTATGGTTGGTATGGTTGGTATGGTTGGTATGGTTGGTATGGTTGGTATGGTTGGTATGGTTGGTATGGTTGGTATGGTTGGTATGTATGGTTGGTATGTATGGTTGGTATGTATGGTTGGTATGTATGGTTGGTATGTATGGTTGGTATGTATGTATGTATGTATGTATGTATGTATGTATGTATGTATGTATGTATGTATGTATGTATGTATGTATGTATGTATGTATGTATGTATGTAGTATGTATGTATGTATGTATGTATGTATGTATGTATGTATGTATGTATGTATGTATGTATGTATGTATGTATGTATGTATGTATGTATGTATGTATGTATGTATGTATATGTGTGTGTTCAACCAGTGAATTGAGGGGTACCGTATTTTCAGACAACTCAAGTATTTCTTTTTGGCGCTTGTACTTCCTCAATAGAATCCTGACAAGTTACCCGGGGACCCTACCCAGACATGAGCCAAGGTCGCAACTTCCATCACATAAAATGACTGATTTTTTGAGGCTAAAAACCAAGCAACCACTTTACATTGTCCTTCCTGGAGGACAATAGTTTCCATAAGCCTCTTTCACACCCAAAGTTCAAGTGAATCCATCTCAAGTGGTGCGAGATTTCCTGTCCCTTCTAATGATTTCAGCCATCTGCAGGTCTTCATCAACGTGCTCTGCTCAACGTCACCAAGCAGTGCCTCAGCGTGGATGTGGCCAGGTTACAACCCAGACCTCACTCTCCGTGATCGCTCAGGAATCCTTCGGAACTGACAAACTTCCACGCCATCGTCGTTCCCTGATTTTTGTGGTTTCCGTAGGGTTCTATAGTTCCTTTGAGAACACCTATCCTGACCATCAACAACTCTACCTCCATCCCAACAAAAACAACAGCTTTTCCAGCTGAGCTGCCTTCGGGTCATGTGGCGCTGCCGAGATGTTGTTATCTCACCAACAGTTGATGTAAATTGTTTCACTTAATGCCTGCTGTATTGCAGTCAAGCTACATGATAGCACAAAAAAAGCCCTAGTATATGTTGAGTCTAATAATTGTTTGACCTGTTGTGAAAAATCTTCCAATCAGTAGTGTGCTTGATGCTCCTGCACTGGTGGTATGTTTTAAGGAAATCACAGCTGTTGTCTGTTGGTGCATTTGATGGCAACATAGGTCATCCACACCACTTAACCTGACCAGAGCAGGACAGCAGGGGCGGCGTTGGAGTCAAGGCTAGAAAGTCCAAAAAATGAAAGTGTGTTTTTGCAGCACCGGACAGAAAAGTGTGTCCAGCTAGAAGGTCTCTACTGACCAAAGGATGCTTGTTTGCAGAAACTTCTCGCCAAGGAGCGTCATTGTTGCGGTTGTCCTCCTTGCGAGCAGCAATAGTTGCTTTGTGATTGAAAGCACATCTCCGAGTACAGCAAACAAGCCAACTTGCACTTGTTTTCCTATCTGTCTTGTTTCAATAGATATGTTTGTTGATTTTGATATGTCTATATATATATATTATATATATTATATTATATATATATTATATTATATATATTATTTTATAGAGAGAGATACGTATATATATATATACACCATGTATGTGTGCATACCCCTCTTTTCGTGATCATATCTCCAATGTTGCTTGTGATTTCCCACCTCTTTTGGATCTGTGAGGCAGCTGGTCGTCAGGCACATCAGGAATGAAGCCATCCTAGGCGGTTTCAGATCCAGGTAGTTGTTCCACTATTTTGTTGATTGAAAATGTTTGAAAATAATTGAAATACATTCCACTTCCGGAATTCCCAGTGGATTGTTTCGAAGCCAAGCTTCGAAATGAATTGCGCTAATGTGCACCGCACTAGTGCCACGGTCGATGGGATCCCAACACCCAATCTGTCAATCTGTTGGATAGTGGGGTCACCCAAACCCATGAATCCCTCTTGATACTGAGATATACTGAGTACTGTAATCAAGTTACACTTGAATCCCCATCCTGCCAATACCTGGAATATGAAGGTAGGATACCGGATTGATGGGATCCCCATCCCATCATCGCAGCTAGGCATCGTATTCCTTGCCCCGGGGAGGACACCAGCCTCTGCCCATGAAGCGCTCCTTCTTGCCCGGTGGCCAAGCTTTGTAGCGGCCGAAGTCCCTGTCGTGAGTGTAGGACACCTCAGCACGTCGATGGTGAAATGGGACCACATTTACATACATCCCAGGAAACTATAGCACACGCAGCGTTTGGTCATGCGGAAAGATGTTTATCACTAATCCTTTTTGGTGGATTCTCACTCTTTTTTCCTACCGGGGTGCTTCAAATCTGGGATTTACACTGCCATGCATTCAGGAAGTGTCGAAGCAAGGCCTTCGACTGTACGGATAAACCACTACGGGTCAAAATCCTGATACCCTTCCGTTCACACATAGCTGGTAACCTGGTAGTCACATGGATGGTCTCCCAAAAATCCCCAAAATATGATCTACAATATTATATATATATATATTTATTTATTGATATTTATTCATTCATTCATTTATTTATTTATTTATTTATTTGTAATAATGTATATATATATATACATATCATATATTCATATATATATAGTACTAAAAAATAATACTAAAAATAATACTAAAAATAGCATCTATGTTGATCCATCCCCAAGACCGATCAACTCCTTTGCGCATCAAAAAACCAAGGGGCACAGCGCTCGTCAGGCTTGGAAGCCTCCTTCAAATGCACCTTCACACTCTCCTGTAAGAATCAACCATGGGTTTTTCTCTGATGGTTTAACAATAAATTGCATTTCTTCATACGTTTCATGATCTTTAATGTTGGTAGTTATAATCAACTGATAATTACATCTTAGATGGACACATGAGGATAAAACCAGCAAAACTGCGGAGAATGGATTCCGAGAGTGGATCTAAACCCCGCGTTTTCTGTGAATGTGGGGGAAAAATACTATCAATGAACGTTTATTTCAATCAACCTTGTAAAATCTGTAAAGGGCTGTACCAACAACATGGGCTTCATAAAACACCAAGAAGCAAATGAGAAGAAGGCCTGGATGTTTCCAAGCAGAGTTGACACAATTGACAACTTCCAAATCCTCCCACTGCGAGTCAAGCTTCCAAGTTGCTGTAGCACTGTAGCACCGGGTCAATGTTGGAGCCGTTTCTTCCAGTATGTTCTGGTAAGCTAGTGATCACATGATGGGTTTGTATGAACGGTACATGTATATGATACATACTAATATTGACCACACTTCCCCCACCATATTTGGAGATAAAGTCCTTGGAGTGCCGGTAGTTGTAAGAATAGGACCACACCACCAGATTCCTTGTCCGAGGTTCGTGTTGGGGCATCACGTGATCACTGAAGTCATCATCAAAACAAGGGCCAGGTGAAGCTGCCCCGTCGCTTTTCGCAATTCGGAAAGGTTGTGAGTTTTACACCATCAATATCTACAGCCAGTGATGACCCTGCCATTACCCTCTGGTAATTTAACATAGCTTTTGAAAATGGCCATAGAAATAGTGGATTTTCCCATTAAAAATGGTGGATCTTTCCATAGTTATGTGACAGTTTACCAGAGGGTATCCGCCATGGATTTTTCTGGCCAACAGCTTCTTCCCAACCGTCAAAACCCATGGTCCAAGCAGCATCCGCTCGCCCCCAGTGATGTCTTCCGCTCCATGGCGATGTCGTCCGCGGTGCATCACAGCATAGCCCAGCCTCGAGGACTCGATGACTCGAGGACTCCCTGGAGTTCCATTGGGGATGGGTCAAAACCCTGATGAACCCCAAAATAGCTGGGATTTATGGATGTTCATCCCACTAAAAATGTATCTATAGGTATTGACCCATACTCATGTAAACTATGCCTAAATATGCCTAAAATATCCTAATCTGGATTTGTAGTTCTTGGGTCCTGCGATGATCCCATTCGAGGCCGACAAGCAGCTGGTGCTGGTAGGCGGTGCGAAAATGCCGGTGGTCAGGCTCACCATTAATGCCACAAAACACCAGCGGCGCGCCAGTGTAGTTGCCAAAGATGTTCACATTAAACCTCTGGTTCAAGAACAACGCAACTTGTGGCTTTCATGCAAGATAAAGCAGCCAAACATGTCATGTGTATTATTCCACTTCATACCATACACAGATTTCAGATGTAAAGAAACGATTTCAGATGGCGTCGCAACAGTTGCAGCCTGTGAGATTACCAGGCTTAGCCTAGGCAACTGATGCAGCATCTTGCCAAAAACTGCATTCCAGACAGATTGAAACGAGATTCAGGGAGATTCTGCGTCCCCAGCTAGTGAGCTAGTCACTAGCCCACCATGGCTTCGACCATAACAGTCCCAGGGGCGTCACGTCTGAATCATCTGTGTGCACGTCCAAATGTGTGTCTTCTCCGCCTCAACCGATGGGAGGCTGCCCAACAGCGCGGCTCGTAGCCAATATCCAGCCACATAGCCCATGGGATGTCAAGAAAATGTCAAGAGATTTATCAGATGCATCAGACTCTACCATGCCAATTCACAAGCTCCATTCCCTGAGCTGCAAACCTTTGTACCTGCAGGGTGCAAGCTTGGGAGAAGCAGAGATGGAAATTCATCCAATGGCACTGTACTGTACTAATGACATGCATTGATGAGACGACGTAAATCTCCCAATGACAAATCCTGATAACGAACACATTACAATGCCGCAATGCCGTGTTTGATAAAAATATCTTAAAACAGCAGGCAGCTGGTAGCTTCATTTGTTGATTTCTACCTTTCATCACAGCTTTTGTGCAAATTGACTTCGGATCTGACCATCCAGCTAAACTCACTAAGATTCACTAAGTATCTAATGGATTCCAATGGTACATCCATCAGGCCAGCAATTCAGCGATGCCTTATGGTGAAGGAGTGATGCGACTCAAGTTCACTTCCTGCCAGTCAGGCCATGTCAGTCATTCCAGTCATTCCACAGCACACGGCGGTTGGAACTCTGCAATGAACGGGGCCATCGGGGCCCCACCCTGCCTTCCATTGGGAAAAGCACCGAGGCCAAAGGTTGGATCACAGCATCTTGGAGGTCAAAAATCATGGGCTCCAATCCTGACCGGATGTGACTGGACGTAAAGGAACGCCGCTGTACAAAAAAGGGGTCCCCTGCAATGAGAAAATTACAAAAGTCACAAAAAGAAGACTCAGCCTTTGCAATGAACTCACTGATGATCGGAAAAAAGACAACACGGCAAGAGGTTCCATTCATTGGATATACGGATATACCGATATATACCCATTGAATCATTTTGGGTGCTTGCAACCTGGGCCCCAATGTCTGGGAAACCATCGCGTTTCAGGCCATGTTTGGACATATGGTTCCCCACATGGATCAAATGTGCGTGCCCCACAATAGGCTGGTTGACCACCGACCAGCGCCCCTTCTTTTGGAGGCACTACTCCTATCCCTATCCATCTTGTGGACGTAAAAATCATGTTAATTCCCATATTTTTCCAAGTGGCCAATCTCATTCAGGATGATGCCTGGTCAAACAACGGAGCTTGAGCTTTTTAGAACCCAAAAAATGGAGGAAAATCCATAGATGTTGGCCCTATTGCGGAGTGCACAGGGGGTGAAAGCTAGAAAGTCAAAACGCGGAGTCGCTGCTATCTTTTTGCTGCAAAACGTTTGGGCCAAACTACGGCCGGTATGTGAAGTGTGAAACACTATGGCAAAAACATGCAACCACCATTAACAACCGACATGTAGCACTCACATCCCTAAAAGAGTATGTTGCTACTTCTGTGCTTGTCGGTTGACGGCGAATTTCTCTTTACGGCGCTGCCGCTGCTCTTTCCTCAGGCGCTGCCTGTGAGCTTCCAAGGCTGCTTCCTTGGGAGTCTCCTTAAGAGACAGTCGCTGGCTCTGACAGAACTCCTCCCACAAGAGGTTTCTCATGCTCTTGGTTAATCCATCAGCATATTGTCGATGGGTTGGTACCCATTTGAGCACGAACATGTCCTGTTCCAGAAAGTCACGAGCTACCATCAGGTCTAACATCGTTTGTCGTTCTGCTGGGATCTGACCTGTGGTCTGCAAGTGATCATACAGGCTTTTCGCATCTGTAACGACATACCCTTTTACTTTCAACTCCTTCCGCCAATCGGCACTGAGCCTGAATGGTCCGTCCCAGAGCATCTGGAGTAAAAGGCGATTGTACAGGTGCCTGTCAATGGCGACGCTGAGTGATGCTGATTCAGCGGCCATACTTGATCTCACCACCCTTGTAGACTTCGTGGTGTTGAAGTCGATTGCGATGGCAGGGCGCGGCCCGTGAAGTGCATCTTCTGAAGTCATGAAGTGCACATTGCCAACTTGGGATTTTCCATCCTTTTCCTTTCCCAAGCTTGCATCGAAGTAACTGACCATGCATGGTCGTTCTCCGTTCTTAAGATCCAACTTTGGATACTTGAGGCTTGCTCGGCCGCTAGCCGCCTCATTCAGGATTTTCTGGTGTAGCTTCACCGCATCCTGAAAGTCCTGGTATGTAGCTCCTGATACCCTTTGAGCCAACTTGCTGATTTCATACAGCACATGTGGCATCACTTGCTGAGCGGGCCATCGAAGCCGCATGACCAGTTGCCGATATTTAGTCAAGTCTTCGGGGCTCAACATTATGTCGGCTGACTGTTTGATCATTTCTGGCACCTTGATCTCCTCGATGTATGTTCTCATGGAATCGATCAGGACGTCTCCATCCATCTTCATTTCTACACCGAGAAAAGTCATGGGAATTTGTTGCCATGCCTTTATGTTGAAGATCCCGTTGATCTGTTCTTTGAGCGCTTTGAATCTGGGATCGTCGGCTGCTCCCATCAACAGGCCGTCATCCACGTGTAGGCATAATATCGCCCACGTTCCAGTTGAGTCGGCCGCAGCAAAAGTTGCTTTTGCGATGCTCAACTCCTGTAGTGGTGTTTTGGCCAAACTCTTGATGGCTTTCAAATACCACAACCTTGGTGCTTCCGTAAGCCCGTAGGCACTTTTCAGAATCTGTAGGAGTTCACCTCCTGAGATCGTGCCCATACCCTCCGTCGTGGGTAGTCCTTCCTGAGGTGCCCGGACGAAAATACGTCGTTCTGTAGCTTCCCCAGAAAGAAATGCCGTGGTGATATCGAACGCCCATGTCGTCCATCCCCTTGCTTGGGAGATCCCTTTTGCCATCCTTGTTGCCACAGGGGATGTGGTAGGTGCGTCCGTTCGAAACTGTCCAAGTCCTGGGTCCCGATGTCCAGGTACCACAAGACGACTCTTGGCTATTAGTGGTAGGGCTGCGCTCTGCGCTTTGTTTACCCTCACCATTCGGAGTGGTGCCTTGAAGACCTGATGTTTTGGTACTGTCTTTTCTTCTTCTCGAGTGACCTTTCTGACAACCTTGTTGTCAATCCACTGTTGCCACTCCTTTCTGTCTGACTCTCGGAAGGCAGCTTGCTCTTCCTGGTTAAACCATTTAGGATCCAACTCCTTCCCATTCTGGCGCAGCCTGAGCAACATAACTTCTTGGACCAAAATGTCCTTGATTTCTTCTGTCCATAGCGTCTCAAAGGAACACCGCTCTTGTTCCGTCAGGAACGCCTTGTAAATTCCGGTCGGCAGTTCTATGTACGTGGCATGTAACTTGCCGGCAGCCTTGCTGTTGCGAATCAGCATGGTCATGCCTCTCCAGTAGAATCCGGCTTTTCTCCTGGGATTCTTCCTGACATCTTGCTCGTTTTCCTCTACCACGTATGCATCCTTGGGATCTTCTCCTATCAAGATTGATAATCTCGATCTACTCACCAGTTTGGGTGGTCTCATGAGCTTCTTTCTTGGCTGCCTGTGTATGCGCGCCGCGCTGACTGGCAAACCTGTCAACTTCCTCAGAACTTCCAGCTCATATCTTGACACCCATTCATTGGATGGTCCTCCTTCACTGGCGGCAGCCATTGCTTGAACAATCCAGGATGCATTGATTCTCTGTCTCTTATTGGGCAGCGTCTCTTCTTCCGCAGCCATTCTTTTCTTGATGCTCAGTGGTACATCATCCATGAGAAACCTTCTACGTCTCTCTTCACCAAGCTGATCCCATTCCTGCCGCGCTGCTTCTTGGACACTGTCCAGATCGTGATCCTCGGGCACCGGTACTTCATGAGGTTCCACCTCCATTCTTCCTGGTGCTTCCGTGTCGTCCAAGATGCTTGGTTCGTATGATATGCTCCTTGCTGCTTCTTCGTTCTTTTCCACTTCTTCGGTCTCCTCGTCAGGCGCTGCCTGTGCTGGCTCACCCGGTTCCTCTCTCATCGGCTCGGCCGTCGCAGCTTTCTTGGAGTCTCCTTTTCTTCCAGGCTCTGCCTGTTTTCTCTTCCGGGGTGCGACCCGAGGATGCAGCCCTCCTTGCTTCAGCAATCTGCTGACTGCCTTTGATCCTCTCAACATCTTCCTGGCTGCTTTTCTTTCTTCAGTGTCCGGCGCTGCCGGTTTTCTCCTTCTTGGGCGTCGTGGTGGAGGTTTTGAAGATCGCAGGTCTTGGTATGTGTTGCTTCGCATGGGGTCACGCAACACACCTTGCAATTCCACCACTTCCTCTCGGACAGGCTCGTTTAGAGCCAGCTCGTCTTTGGTTCCCAGTCGGAGGTTCTCCTCTGAAACCAGGAGAAGCCTTCCTCGCCATGATATGAAATATCTTTTTGTGGCCTCCTTCACCAGCACTGTCGCTGGCCCTCGCCATGTGCCACCTGGTTTATACCTTGCGCGCTGCGTAGGTACCCAGAAGTATACCTGACAGCCAGGCACAAAGGGCCCCTGAGAAACCGCTGGTTTCCTCAAGATTGCCCTTCGCATCTTGTCCTGGACGTCTTGCCGGACCAGTGCCACTCTGGCGGTGATGCGCATTCTGTGCGCTCTTGCTGCTTCTGTCTCGGTGTCGAGACTCTCCAGATAGCTCAATCCTGGGTTCTCTTCCGCCAGGCTTGGCCATCGGCACTCACTGCCGAAGACTCGCTGGTTGGGAGTAAACCCGTCCCGAGTCACTGTTGCATTTTTGGCCATACACGCGCACGAGAGGGCTTCCTTCATCTGACGATATCCCTCTATCCCGTGCTCGTCCACTATGGCTTGTAATGCCTGACCCAACAGGCCTCCGTGTCTCTCGGCGACACCGAGCTGCCATGGAGAGTGCGCGCCCGTTACCCTTGAGCTGATGCTGAACTGCTCCAGAAGAGCCACAAACGCGCCTTCGAACTCTCCACCCTGATCGTGCACAAAGCACTGTGGTGTGCCGTACGGCATGATCCATTTTCTCAGGATCTTTGATGCGATGTAGTCTGACCTTCTGGTCTTGATCATGTGGGCATCATGTTTGCCGCTCCCCGTGTCTAGAAGACTAAGGGCAGCATATTTCTTGCCCCTCGCATCCCATGCGTACTTCACATCAATCTGCACAGTCCTGTTGAAACCAAAGGGTCTCGTGCTCGCAGTCGCTGCCTGCGGATGGCGTGGTGCCCTGCGAGCTTCGCAGACTGAGCACTTCCACTTCTTTGCATACCTGACTGCATCTGCATTTGCGCCGCTGAGCTTCAGCATGCGCAGCAGAGTCGAGGTAGACGGATGTCCGAGCTGTCTATGTGCAAATTCGACAGCCTTCCTGACTTCTGCATTGACCGGATGCCTTTCCTCATCTTCCAAGTGTTCTTCGGCATCTGGGTCGTGTTCTGGAAACCTTTCTTCCTCTTTATACTCTCGTTCAAACTCCTTTTCCAGCTCGTCCTCAATGTCTTCTTCTTCATCCACGGCCTCTTGACCATCCATGATTTCTGGGACCTCGTCTTCTTCTTCTCCAGCCATGTACACTTGGGACGGCTGGCTCAGTCGCTTCTCAAATCCCTTTAGCAGGGCCTTGCACAGCGGTTTGGCATATCCCCCAGCCCAAGATGAAACACTCATCCAGTGACCATCTGGGTGGCGGAACCCACCTTCGATGGGATGATGCTCATGTGTCCCATCGCACTGTGCCTTCTGGATGTATTCGAGGGCCACGGGGTCACCTCTCATCCTAGTTCTCTTCCTCATCGGGACTCCTGAGATTGGATGTCTCAATCCCAGCATGCACTGATCAAAGTCTATCTGAGCTGTGCCACTGAACGCCTCTTCAATCTCTGGTGTGCGCCATGCGCCAGACAACTGCGGGTTCTCTCCGATCACTATCCTTCCCCTGCGGCGCTGCCACAAGGTGACCTCCTTCACAAACTTCAGGAGTGTCCGGCGGGCCTTGATTCTCCGCAACTGGAGTGCCCGTCTTTGCAATGCAGTTCTTCCATTGGCATTCTGAAGAATGCTCCAGGGGCCACAAGGCCACGCAATGGCGATGGCATCGGGATCGATCTCTTCCAGATACTTGAATGCCCGATCTCGGTCACACTTGTGTTCCAAGTTCCAACCACTGTCCAAGGTGATCGGCTCATATGTGCTCCATCCGCCTTCACATGCCAGCTTCGTGAGCATGCACGTCCATGTGAAGATCTCTACCAATCGCCATGGACCAGGCTTGCGCGGCGCTGCCACACTTGATCTCCTTGATTTCCTGGTCGTAGCTTCGGTTTCAGCAGCATCCGAAACCTTCTGAGTAGCGTCCAGGAGCCTCCTGCGCTGTCCCTTGTTGAGGATCTCGGTTTCGCCAGGCAGATCCGAGGCCAGGATCTCAGAGTAGTCCCGCTCCTCATCTGAGCTCTCAGACTCCGTGCTCTGCACATCCGGCCCACTGCCATGGCTTGTTTCTGATTCTCCTTCGCTGAAGGATCCATCACTTGGTTCATCTTCTCGAGGTGGCGCTGCCACATTGATCAACGCTTCTTGCGGAATGAAGTCCAGGCATGAGATCGCCTCATCTTCCAGGTGGCTCTGCCACAATGCAAATTCTTCCGTTTCGTCGGGTGATTCCTCCTTTGGCACTACAGCAGTAGTAGAAGAGCTGTCCGATTCCTCTTCTAGTGCAGCTTGCAACAATGCCAGGCTGAATGGATCTTTGATCAACCTTTCCTTCAACTGCTCCAGTTGCGGCGTCTGCCATGCTTCTTTGGGTGCCTCTCCCAAAATCTTCAACACCGGATGTCTTGTTTCGGAGAGTTGCGTCTGGCTGGAATGCCCCGCAACCACAGTTTGGCCAGAGCCGAAGTTCATCTCAACACCCCACCGGGCCATTTCACTCGGTCCGACTAAGGCCGGACATTGGGCCACACGGTGATCTGTCCTGGTGTTGGCGACCTCTGCAAGCCGTAGCCAACTAGGCTGTTGGCTTTCGCCCAGCACCACTGGATACACGAAAGCCCTTGTCGACATCACTGGCTCACCTGCTCCGAATCTGAACACTTCTGTGTGCTCAACCTCAAAGAAGTGCAATCCACGCTTCCTGAGGTGATCTTGAAAGGTCTCGTGCCACTGTGATCCGGCTACTGCCGTCCTGCACCCTGTGTCTAGAATGACATGCATGGCGCCGCCATTAATCATCCAGACCTCCGGATCTGCGACCAGTGCCCCATGTTCCATTGAGTAGTACAGCACCTTTTTGAGGCCGCATTTCTTGCATGTCGCCCAATGGGCTGATGAGTTTGCTCCCCACCGAAGATGATTCATCTCATGAGGACATGCATCCTGATTGTGATCCGGGATATCAGAGGCTTCTGAGAGACGGACGCGGCCGTTCTTATCCAAGCTGTTCTCATACAGCTGCTGTCTGAATTGCTTCAGTCTTTTCTTTCTGACGGCCTCCGGGATCTTTTCTTCTTCCTTCGGGGCCGGTGGATGCATCGAGCTGGATGCTGCGGCTGATGCTGAGGACGCTGCCTCTTTTGGCCTTGCCTTTGGCCTCGGCTGGCTCGAGTATCCTGACCGTTTGTCCGGTCGGGCCAGCTTGTCTTGTTCTTCTTCTCGTGGGACGTTGTCTGCCGCAAACAGCTCCGCATCTTTCCGCAATGCCTTGTAGAGGCTTTTCTTCTCCTCCCTCGAGAGGTGCGGCAAGATCCTGAGGATCTCCTGTGGATTCAAATCCACTTCCATGGGCTTTAAACCATCACAGTTCCTTTTATCCGGCGCAGCCGAGAACTGTCTTGCCTCTTCCTCCCTTGCCGACTTATACTCCTTCTTTCTCAGACGAGTCTTCATGCTTTCCTCTGTTTCCTCTTCGATGAGGGCTTCCAGCACCGTCTTGAGTGCCATTCGGTACTTCTTGGTTTTCTCATTGGACTGACGCGGCTCCACCTGTCGTCCAGCTGAGAACCCAAGATAGTTTTCCGGGGCGTGTCCATCGTCATCTTCTTCAGACTCCTCAGTATCGTAGTTCTGGAGGAGATCCCATCCATCCACACTGTTAACCGGAAATGTCCAGTTGACTCGGTGGACTCTTGTTCCGCCACTGCCCTCACTCTTGCGATCAGCCGGATCCCCTTCTTGGCTGGTGGTGTAGTGCGTACCACCTTGACTGGCGCTGCCAGTAGACCTGGGCGGATCCTTACCACTGATCACATTGGGGCATACGGCGTCACCATGCCAGTGACCGTACTGCTTGCATGAAGCACACTGGCTGTTCTTCTTCCGATCTTCGGCCTTACGGCGATCGGGTTGCTTGCCCTTTCCTTGGCCTTTGGACTTGGCTTGATGATATCCTCGGCCCTTTCTGCTGTCCGCTGTTTTGGACTTTGCACGCCATCCAGCGGCGTAGGCTTCCTTCAGGGCCTCCTCGTCGTACTCTTCATCATCCCAATCCTCTTCTTCGTCATAGTCCTCCGGCTCTTCGTTCTCTTCAGCGAGCATCGCTTCTTGTTCCAGATCCTCGTTGTCCGCATCTTCCTCATCTTCGTCTTCATATTCATAGCGATCGTCTTGTTCATTGGGCTCAACTGGCTCTGCCAGATGTGAGGAGTGATGCGATGCCCTGTGAGGTCTGGTGCGGTCTGATCTTCGCACGAAGTTCTTCTTCTTGGTCGCGCTGCGACCTTGGTTATCGGTGAGCTTGTAGGGTCTCTCTCCCGATGGTTTCTTCTCATCCAGATGGATGTTCTGACATCGAAACCTGAGGACCTTTTCTATTTCGGCTGAGTTGTAAACCCCGCCCGCGCTGTAGAAAATGTCCATCCTCTCACGCTTGGTGAGGGCTGCACGAGAGAGCAACCTCTGGGCAAACGATTTGTCCGACAGCTTAGTGTCGGGATCTTCCTTGAGATACTCCGAGCGTAATCTCTTGATGGTGCTTATGTAAGCAGCCATGCTTTGACCTGGGGCTCGACGGTAAGCGTTATACGCTTCTTGTCGCTCCTCGAATCTCTCGTCTGCACGAGCACCGAAAGATTCGTCCAGAAGCTTCAACATTCTGTTGAGGCCGCCAGGTTCCTGCATTTCTTGAACCTCCAATTGGTTCAGGATTTGCCTTGGCTCTCCTTGGCACGACAGATAGATCAACATAGCCATTTCGCTGTCCTCAAGGCGATACAGAGCACGCTGTGCTTCGATAATCTTCTTCCAGTCCTTGTAGTGCACTCTGTTTCCTCGGAAAGTTTCAATACGCACTTGGGACAAGCTTGGCTTCGATCTGTCTCCGGGCTTTGCACTCTGTTGCAAGAGCGCCCGGATTTCTGATGTCCGTGCCGTGGATGTTTGATCCGTATCATCTTCTGGATCATCATCTCCTGGAGGGTCGCCGCCCCCGCCTCGCACGGCACGCTCCACCCTGGGGCGCTGCCCACGCTCCGGTCGCCGCCGGTTCTCGGGTGGTCGCTGCCTTTCATCCACCGGTCGCGGCCGGTCATTGGCAGGCCTCTCCTCTCTTCTTGGTCTTGGAGGTGGCCTTTCTTGCCTTCTTCTCGGTTCCGATCGGTCCGTCACCGATATTGTGGGGTCGCTGGTCCGTCGGGACTCCTCAGCTTGCTCTTGTTCTCCTTCACCTTCATCTGAATAGTATGACTCGTAGGTGTAGGACCCTTCTGAGTCTTCTCCACCATCGTCGCCATCATCTCCAGGTGGAGGAGGAGCTGCCTTCTGCTTCTTGGCCGGTTGGGCCTCCCTCTTCGGGGCTTTGTTGCTCTTCTTTCCACTTGATGTCGGAGGTGGCGGCGCTGCCGGCTCCTCATCCTTCGGCTTTAGCCGCTGCTCCCGCTGCCTTGCGAGATCAGCAACTTCTTTGCCGCAGGCCTTGCAGCCGAACTCACCTTGAGGCAATGCCCTTCTGCATCTGCCACATACCAAATCTCCATCCCTCGGATACACTGTCCATTCCTTTGGCACGGGACGGGATGCACTGGCCTCTGCCTTCTTGGGTGGCTCTGCCTCCCTCCTCACTGGCCTTGATGGCCCCGGAGTCGCAGCTCCTTCCACTGGCCTCTTCTTAGCTTCCGGCTTGTTAAGGGGTTTCGGCAACGGCGGTTTTGGTGGCTCTGGTGGCTTGCGTGGTTCCGGCGCATCCGGCTCCTTCGGACGGTTCCTTCCTTGCCATTCTTCCCATTCCTCGTCATGCCACTGGCTGCCATCCCAAAAGTACCATTCACCTCCCTCAGAGGGGTACCATCCGGGCTGGTAGGTCTCCTCACGAGCCTCTCGGTCCTTCCGGATGGCGGTGTCCACAGCCTTACGGACAATGTCTTCGACATCTCTTGCTGTGTACTTGCCCTTGCCTTTGCTCTTGCTTCGGCTCTTATTTCCTTTGCCCTTGCTATGGCTTCGGCTCTTACTGCCTTTGCCTTTCTCCCCTTTCTTTCCTTTCTGCGAGCCCGATCGTTCCTGTCCTTTGGACCCCTTATCCTTATTCTTCCCCTTTCGCCGTGGGGATCTTCCTCGGTGTGAGGCGCTGCCTCTTTCTCGGTCTGGGCTCTCGGCCTCTCTAGACCGTGGCTCGTCCTTGCGTTCCCGAGCCTCTCTGCAGTGGCTGTCACTGCTATTTTCTTCTGACCAGTCTGCCTCGGAGACCGGTGGCGGCGCAGCCGCTTCTGAGGTCGCTGCCTCTTCACGTGGCCCTGCCACTGGGGCATCCGCCCCTGTTGACGGCGCAGCCGCTTCCCCTGTCATGGAGCGCAAGCTCCGCTACCAATGCGGAGTGCACAGGGGGTGAAAGCTAGAAAGTCAAAACGCGGAGTCGCTGCTATCTTTTTGCTGCAAAACGTTTGGGCCAAACTACGGCCGGTATGTGAAGTGTGAAACACTATGGCAAAAACATGCAACCACCATTAACAACCGACATGTAGCACTCACACCTATATCCAGTTCATGTGCTGGAAAATCACCAGCCAAGGATTTGGATGAAACAACTCTCCAAGCTGCCATAGTTGTTCATGGAATTGGGCCGTCGGGCCGGCAATTTGGAGCCATAGAAGTGCCGGATCCTTGGCTGCATGATATGCCGTGTGAATCTGTGTGACATGTTGACCACTACAAAGTGCTCGATCTAGGCATGATCTCACAGAAAATACATTCGCAACTTGGATTGGAATTGATCATGGCCAATTTTTTTCCGTAACAACTGCTGTGCGCAGGGATGGGTGCAGAAAATACCAGTATGTTGGTGATTGTGACCTGTGCTTCCTTTCCCGTCTCTATAGAGGTCTCAAGTTCTCAGGTCATCAACCTGCACAAGGCAGGATCTTGTGCAGCTCAAGAGCTCTTCCATCAGCAAAGCGCAAAAGTCCAAAGTGAAAATCGGGAAGCTATAGACCTGAGCTGTCCCTAGCTGTCCCAAGTTGGCCCATGTTGGCCCAAGCTTCCTTGCCCCTTGCAGGCTGGAGTTCAGTCGAGTCGTCAGCCAAAAAAACTGACTATCAAATACTATGGCTATGACCTATGACTCAAAATCAGTTCTTCATAGGGGAACCCACGAAATTGGTTGTTTTTGTAGTGTACCATTCAACTTGTGGGTTCAATAATTTCGAGCCACGCCCATACCTAAGAAATGCACTGTATCCATGGTCACCTTTCGACCCAAGAAATCCTTGGGCCCTGCAGCCGAACGGCAAGCTCCGGCACGATCTCTTGGATCAATCCAGAGCCCATCAGCTGCTTCTTCACATCTTCTCTGCTGCCTCTTTGAAAGGACTCAGAGATCAACTTTCACATCCTCCAGGGCAGAAATTGTCCATCAAGTCCATCAAACTTGGGAGAGGGCCCCAAGTTTTTTCTGGTCGAAGATTTTAGGGGGAACGATACCAAATGGGTTACTGAAGCCTCCGAAAAAAATTGCACTCCATCCGACCCCATCCCCTCCTGGGATCAATGGCTTTCTCCAACTCCACACCATTGGTCTTGAAAAACATCGCGTGCTTTGGCCCATAGGACTGGTATTTCACCACAGTGCTCGCATCCTCCTGGCGCCAGTCATATTTTAAGAAATTTTAAGATGGGTCATTAAATGTCCCCATTGAACATCACCCAACCATTAGGTATATGGTCTATAATGGCTACTATAAGGTGATGTCCAATATTCCCAAAATGGGACAGTTACCAACCCCTGTTTAAGAAAACATCTAGACCGAGAGCAGGGATGTCGGACCTCAAAGGCGGTCGCTGCGAGTTGCCAGGGCTTCTCGTCCTTGGGATGCATGGCACCACCCAAAGAACGGTGCAGCTGCCAGAGCAACCACTTCAAATCCTGGGATGCGCTCCCTCCCAAACAAGGCCATTGAAGCCCTGGAATATGGATAGAATATGCTGGGAATATGAATATGAACTGATGTAACTATTCTGAAATCTGGCTCTCAAACAAAAATATTGGTAAGTGAGGCATAAAGTAGGACTCATTCACAATATTCAAAGAGACCCCTGTATACAAAACTGTCCTTGGACCCAAACTTTCTGTCAAGTAGCATGTGACTTGTCACTGTTGTGTACTTTTTCAGGTTTTTGCACCTTGCCATGTTCTTGCCCGATTTCTGTTGGACACCCCTCCATCTTCAGGGCAAAACCAAATCCGTTCCAAGGATCATAACGCCTATCTTGCAGAGCCTGCGGACACACGGTCTCGCAGTTGCCGGGGGTGCTTTGACAGCCATACCCCAACTCATCGCCTGAGGTTTCCAAGTGGGAAGCACAAGCAATGCTATCTGACTCGAGGGGTTCCAAATGTGTAAATGCTAAAGCTGAAATAGGACGTGTGGAGCCTGAAGTTCCAAGCACGGAAGGTCTGAAGAAAGACTACACCTCAATCACCGACTTGTATTACCATTTGAAGTTTGTAAGGGAATTTTGGCCGAAACAAAAAAAACGCGTCTGCTACTGAGGCCAAGTCTCTGTTCTTTTGATTGTCTCCATTGCAGTCGCAAAAGCCGGAGTTCCCCAAAGGCACGTTTTCGCTGCAAAGCCTATCCCTGTCTGGTTCTCTTTCTCCATGCGTGGCATTGCAATTCGCAGTCTGTCGCCACATACAAGCAATGCGACCTGGGTTTCCGCCAGACTTGGCAGTAGCGGGAAAATGGTTAGTACATGAGTAAAAAGTCACTGATTATATTATATCCCACTACAGTATCCGACTTGCAAGCGTGTTTATCCGTTCATCCCAGTTGCTTGCTATCTATCTCTATTTCTATCTCTATCTCTCTCTCTCTCTCTATCTATCTATCTATCTATTTATCTATCTATATTTATGTGTTATTCAGTGATTCATTTATATGTTTATTACTATTTGATCCAATCTTATCTGATCTCATCGTATTATTTCATATCATCTTATATCTTCTTATCTCATTTTATATCATTTTATATCATCTTATATCCTTTTGTATCATCTTATATCATCTTATCTTGTCCTAGTAAATCAATTCCAAACAATTCTAACTTAATCTTATCTAATCGGAATTGCTTATCTATCTATCTCATCAGTGTTATCTAACTTATCTGTCTAACCTATTTTATTTATATCATCTATCTACTCCAATCCACTCTAATATCATCTCACCAAATCTAATCTCAATATGTATCTGTATATACTATATACAGTTATGTATATGATATTATTTCATACCATAACATATCACATCACCTCACATCACCCCACATCAAATTACATTACATTGTACTTTCCTATACTATACTATACTTTACTAAACTATACTATACTAAAAATATAATTGTAATCGCAATTATAAGTGCAATTACCCTTATATTTAAAAAATGGAATAAATATAATTATAAGTATATCATATCAAATCAAATTATATCATGTCATATTAAACTATACTATATCATACCATATTATATACATTAAATTATTTTTATTTTATATTGTACATTATAATATATATTATATCAAAGTATATTATTATAGATTATATTGTATAATATATTATATTATATTATTTTATATTATGTTATATATATATATATATTAAATAAATTAAATTGTATTAAACTATATTACAAAAATATTATTTTACATTATATACAATATTTCAAATTATAATATATCATATTATATTATTATACTAAACTATGTTATATTATATTTTATTTATTTTATTTTATTATACTATATTATATTATATTTTATTTTATTTTATATTTCATTATATTATATTATATGATATAAAATTATATTTCATTATATTATATTATATTATACTACATTTCATTATTATATTATAGTATATTATATTGTATATTAAAAATATATTATTATATATTATATTATGTTATATTATATTGTATTATATTATATTATATTATATTACATTATATATTATATTGTACTACATTTCATTATTATATTAGAGTATATTATATTATATTATTTTATATTGTATTATTTGATATTATAGTTTATTATATGAAAATTAATATTATATTATATTATTTTATATATTATATTATATTATATTATATTATATTTTTTATATTATATGGAATTAAATAATATTATACTATATTAAATTGGATTACATTATATTATATTGTATTATATGTTGTTATGTTATGTTATACAATATTATGTTATGTTATGCTATATTAAATTATATTATCTTATATTATATTATATTATATTGTATTATATTATATTAAAACATATCATACTATATTATGTCTTATTATATTATATTATATTATATTGTATTTTATTTATATTATATTTTATTTTATTTTATTATCATTTTTTCAATATTATATTTTACATTTATATATATATACCTTATTTTAATATATGTATATATAACAGTTTCCTACAAACAAATTCAGGGATCATAACAGCACAAAACAAGGACAAAACGTTCCGTGTTCTGCTCACAGGGACCACCACTGGCGGCTTCCTGTAGCCGCGCCAGGAGTTTGCTGCTGGCCTCCCGGACATGATCACTCTTGTCCTCGTCCGGTGGTTTGACGTAAAGACTCCTTGGTGGTTTTAAATGGAGCAGATGGGCTCATGGATGTTCATGGATGTTGGCTGCCTATGATGATCGTCATTTAGACGTCCAAGTGCATCAACATTTGGTCACACCCCAAACATCAGCACCAAGCTGAGGTACTTGAGCTGTCCGACAAAACGAATGCTGGGCAAGCTCTGCGGCCAAGTCTTTCCAAAGACCAAAATTGCACGATGATGTTTCCCTCGCAGCCACAGGCGCTGGGCATGGCTTAGTGCGAGGGAACTGACCCATCCCAGGATCCAAGCCTTGTAAATTCGTTCATCTCAAAAATGTTAAGAGTGCTTCAACCTGTACAAAATGTTGACATATTGGGTACGAAGCAGTCTCAATATTTTTTGGTGGTTCAGTCTCTCATCCATGCGAGTTGGTCTTAGTTACCTTGAGTACTAACGGAAAATCATAGATCTTTTGAAACATCTTGGATGAACCAAAATCATCCGTACACCTAATTTTGAAATACAACAGGAATGAAAATACAACACAAAAACTACATTACTGGTGACTTCAGATGTTCAGCCGAAAAATATTGCTCTGACATGCCAGAACCGGCACCAAAAAAAAAAAGTATCCCGGCAAGAGACCCCAAATAGTGTGGGGGAGTGAGAGAATAATGTATGATAATGTGGATGATGATGATGATGATGATGAGGGCAATGAGGATGATAATGATCATAATGATGATGATGATGATGATGGTGATGGTGATGATGATGGAGATGATGATGCTGATGATGATGATGATGATAATGATGATGATGATGATAATGATGATAATGATAATGATAATGATAAGGATGAAGAGACTCAAATTGCGGAAGATGAAGTGGAGGATGATAAGGTGGAAGATGATGATGCGGAGAAGGGGGAAGATGATTATGCTGAGGGGGAACATGACGATGATGATGATGATGCTGCTGATGATGATGATGATGATGATGACGAGGATGATGAGGATGAGGATGAGGATGAGGGTGAGGGTGAGGATGATCATGATCATGATCGGCCCACAACCTAGGACCACACTTCGCGCGAGCATGCGCAGTTGAAACGCATGTGAAGATTTCACAAGAACCACTTTATACATAAATTCACTGGAAAAATGCCGCGGCCCAGATTGAGCCCAGAACGCAGACACACACTTTGTGCGAGCCTGCGCAGTCGAAACGCATGTCAACATGTCACAAGAGACAGCAGAAGAGCCACTTTATACAGAAATTTACAGGAAAAATGCCGCGGCCCAGATTGAGCCAGAACGCGGACACACATTTGGCGCGAGCCTCTGCAGTCGAAATTCATTTCAACATTTCACAAGAGACATCAGTCAGAAGAGCCACTTTTTACAGAAATTTGCAGGAAAAATGCCGCGGCCCAGATTGGGCCCAGAACGCGGGCACACGCTTTGTGCGAGCCTGCACAGTCGAAACGCATGTCAAGACTTTATACGGAAATTTACAGGCAAAATGCCTCAGACCAAAACCGCGCCGCAGACTTTGCGCGAGCCCGCGCAGTCCAAACGCATGTCCACATTTCAGAAGAGACAGCAGAAGAGCCACTTTATACGGAAATTTACAGGTAAAATGCCGCAGGCCAAAACCACGCCGCAGACTTTGTGCGAGCCTGCGCAGTCGACACACATGTCAAGATTTCACAAGAGCCACTTTATGCGGAAATTTACAGGTAAAGTGCTGCAGACCAAAATGAGCCCAGAACGCAGACGAACACTTTGTGCGAGCCTGCGCAGTCGAAACGCGTGTCAAGATTTCACAAGAGCCACTTTATACGGAAATTTACAGATAAAATGCCACAGACCAGAGTGAGCACCCTGATCAAGCACCGGCCTTTACACCTACCGTAAGAATCCCTCAGTGTGGACACACTGTTTGGGGAACAATTACTGAACATGACTGAAAATTATGAAGTGATCTCAACTCTTTTTTGGAATATATATGTATATAGCCGTTCACCAATATTTTAAGATTTGTTCAGCAAATAATTGATATCAACTCATTGGTTCATGATTTATTTTCAGGAAGCAGTTGGAACTAAAAGTACGCATATGTTCAATAATTGTATAAGCTCTTCATGATTTAACCTGTGGTAAACCCAGTGCCATAGAAAAAAAAAACTACCATTTGGGGATAGCTGAAATCCAACCCGTTTATGGTTATAGTCATAGTCAATTATATTAGGGACGGTTTGTGGCATTGGGTTTTTCACATTAATTGGAAAATCCCACATTTAGTTCGATGCTTTTCCCAGCTTGTCAACCTCCATTTAGTGCGGGGAATTCCCAACTAGCCAGATGACCGAAGGATAACTGAAAAACTTCCAGAAGTTTGATGTTCCCATTAAAACATCTTAAAAACCAGTGGAGGCTTCTAGAGGATTTTCATGGATTTTCGCAGCCCTAAACCTCCATTCTTGGAGTACCACCAGATCCACCAGCATCAGCTCCAGCGGCTCCAGCCCAGTGGCGGAACGCCGTTGGCGCTGTACTGGGTGCCGCCAGGTCGATCTTGAGCCTCCAGGGGCCCGTCGCGCCACCCGTTAGGCACGAACTGCTCCACCTGGGTGAATGGCCAATCATGTGGTGGTTGGATGATAGACAGCAAAATGAGGGATGAGGCTAATCTTGACCCATACGTATGTCCAAAAAGTGGAGTGTTTGATTCGGGAACTGGGGTTTCGCCCCTCAGTTTTTCCTCAAACAATATATTTGTTATTATTGACAATATTGACATCCTGGTTGAGGGGAGGTCTCCAGTAGATTCATGTATAGCAAGCACAGCCCGAGCCACAAGGGGCTGGAGTCCTTGTGCTCTCGAAGCCGCAGTCGACGCTTCTTGCCTTTAGAAAGACCCAAAGAGCCCATGACGGAAATTTAGAACCCACAGGGTTTCAAAACCATGATTGTTGTTCCGTCATGGTACACTGTTGATGCATGTTCATGCCTACGCCCAGAAAACCGTATGAGTAAAACGCAGGTCTTCAGTAATTCAACATTCTGAGGATGTTACGTTGAAGATGATGTGTTGTTACGTTGACGCTGTTACGTTGAAGATGCTACGGTGATGATTTGGGTGGTGGGGAGCTGTTAACGTTCCTAGTAACACGTCAATGTTGTTGCGTTGAAGATGTTATGTAGTTGAAGATGTTACGGTGATGATTGGGGTAGGTGGGGTGGGTGTGGGCGGTGGGGAGCTGTTAACGTTCTAGTAACACGTCATGTTGGTGCGTTGAAGATGTTATGAGTTGAAGATGTTACGGTGATGATAGGTGGTGGTGTGTGGTGGGAGCTGGTTCCTAGTAACACGTCAATGTGTGCGTGAGATGCGGTGATGATTGGGGTAGATGTTATTCCTAGTAACACGTCAGTGTTGGTGCGTAGAAGATGTTATGGAGTTGAAGATGTTACGGTGATGATTGGGGTAGGTGGGGGTGGGTGGGTGGTGGGGAGCTGTTAAAGTTCCTAGTAACACGTCAATGTTGTTGTGTTGAAGATGTTATCTAGTTGAAGATGTTACGGTGATGATTGGGGTAGGTGGGGGCGGGTGGGTGGTGGGGAGCTGTTAAAGTTCCTAGTAACACGTCAATGTTGTTGCGTTGAAGATGTTATGTAGTTGAAGATGTTACGGTGATGATTGGGGTAGGTGGGGGTGGGTGGGCGGTGGGGCTGTTAACGTTCCTAGTAACACGTCAATGTTGCTGCGTTGAAGATGTTATTGCGTTGAAGATGTTATGGCGATGATTGGTTGGGTCGGGGGTTGAGACGCCAACGATGTTACGTTGATGATGTTACGACCAAGCTTGGAGCAGGTGTAAAGCATTCATTCCAAAGCAACTCAAAAGTGAGTCAGGTCTGCTTAAATTGTACATGGGTGCGTACCAGTGGCGCTATATCAATGGGCGATGTTGAACCGCCTTCCCAAAAAAGGAAGCAGAAAGGAGATCCAGTGGCTGCTTGTGTATGATGTCATTCGAAATGACCCAGTTTGGTACAACATATGCACGGTACCACAACGACAAACAAAAAAAAATATAGAAACCGAGCTATATAACTGACTACTGAAGTCGGCAAAATTGATTTTTTGTTGAGAAACTCCCACGCAGGCCACGGTTTCTGTTTGAGATCCAAATAGCTTTGCAAATGAAATGCAGAAAAATGCCAAAAATTTGGTTTTTGATTTGAGCCTTTCTGCTATCTAAATTGTCTCAAAACTTAGGTAAAACGTATTTTTTTCTCAAAACATCACCCAATTTCGAACAATTTTGGAACATGTTGACATTGGACAGTCCACGCCTGCCACAGGAAATGCACTTCAATTGGGACAGCCAAGTTGAAAAACGTATTAAAAAAATTATCATACGGAAAACGGGGTGACGGGATGTTCATGTAACAGAAAAATACACCGCCTCACAGAATTCTCTATTTCCAAACATGTCAAATATAATCCTTGCATCGCCATAGCTTCCAAGGCACTCAAACTCTGTCGGGCCTCATAGAGGTGGCCCAATTTCACCACATAGGAAGGCAAATCTGATCGAAGTGCAGAGACCTCTCGGCCTTAGATCGGAGATGGGTTCAGCTGCCTTGAAAAATGTTGGTCAATTGGGGTAGTCATCCCGGGGATGGGTCAACTTTTTGGAGACTGCAAACAGGATGGCTTAACACCAAAAACAATCGAGAAAGTCTGTGCCTTGCTGGCGCCAGTAATTTTTGAGGCACGCCTACATGATTGTTTGATTTGTTTGAAACATATTCAAATTACAATAGAAAGAGTCAAAACATGTGGGTTCGTGCAAATACAGGCTAATCCGAAATCCCCACAGGTTTCTCATCATTTTCCCTTGCAAAATTGCCTTTATGGTGTATCCCCACATGTTGAAACAAAGCTATTTGAAACCATCGACGAGTTGCAGAGTTGGATTCCCCCAATGGCAGTTTCATCCGTCACTAGCTGTGCTTCTGGAAGTTCTCCCAGGCACAGTGAAAGCAGCAGCCATGCCATCGCCATGGCAACACATGTCAACACCAAGGTGGGAGATTTCTCCCTTCAAGGCTTATATAATCTTACCTGTTGCTAAGTATATACTTGTACCTCAAATTGCCTCACTTATCAAAGAGGTTGTGGCAGTCTCTGTTCTGGCTTGCAGGCGCTTCTTCTTATGACACTGATCAAGCACTAATTCTACGTTCCATCTCCCATGCTTTTGGCCATCAGCCACATGAACCCCAAAGCTGAAAGATCCGTCCTAGATTTGCACCGGCGGTGCCATTTATTGGCTTCTACTGGTGTAGAACATGAACAAGCCCGTCTTCAACGTGTGTACAAATGAAAGAAATACCAGCATGGTTTGTCCTGGGTTTCATACGCCGCGAGTGGTTTTAGTGTTCTGTCAAAGAACAACTATATAATTTGTTCTTAGTCTGCTGGTTCACAACTAGTCGATAAACTTCAAGGATGGAAACCAGGATAGAAATGTTTGCATCAGCTTCCTGAGCTCCATACCTTGGGATTTTCGCTGTTCAGCTTCAGCGCCTGGTCTTTCATGAGGATTCACAGTGTAGTGCTCCAAAAATTTCCAAAGTCCAGGTCATTTAGGTCTCAAATCTTGGGATATAAACATTATAAACATGTATAAAACGGGCTGGAAAAACTCTCAAGTCCTTTTGAGGTGTCGGAATGCTTGATTTCTGAAAAACCCTGGCCTCATTGCAGTCCGTTTCGGCGGATGACCACTGCCGAAGCGTCAAGCGTGCGAAGGCCTAGGGTCGGGCCCAGGGGGTTCATTGGTCGCAGTCTGTGACCTACATGCATCGGCCCTGCTGCTACTTATGGCCACTTATAAATATGTATAAACTCATGGGGGTGTAAAACACGCTAAACTCCTGGTTTCCATGAGTACAGTCATACTCTGTAAAGTGTCAAAATGTGTTACACCGCTACAACCGTTACAACCTCAGTGAACTCCTCCATCAACTAGCGGCTCTCTGAGTCAGCCGCCCGGTTGGAGTGCAAGATGCCCCGCAAGGTCCCGGAGACCTCAAACCATCTCCAAAAAATATGTGTCAGCTGAGATCATCACATACCACAATCCCATGTACATCTACATATACATACACATACACATATACATACACATACACATACATGTACACATACATATATATATATATATGTATGTATGTAAACATCCATCATGTGTGTATATATATATACTACACATACATATAATACATAGACACATACATACATTACATTACGTTACATTACGTTGCATTACATATGGTGTATATAAACAAATATTTGTCTCAGGGAGGTGATCATCAAAAGTACTTTAAAAAAAAAAAAAAAAACACACCACAATCAGAGACAGATCGAGTTTTGTTGACCAGTCATCATTAAGCATCGGGATTTTGCTGGAATGCTGGAAAACTATGGCTTTCTGCCTGAAACTATGGCAACTACTAGCGTGCTGCACAGTGATCTGGAAGAGAATGAGTGATGATGTGGTTATGGGTCAAAACCCTGGTACCCAAGGTACCCTTGGTACCCTTTAATAGCTGTTTACTCCCCCAGTGGGTAATGTCTTAGATAACTTGATCCATCCCGTAGCACCAAGTGCAGTGCTGTGACTTTGCCAGACTCTTCCACTAGCCAAATGGCCTTGGAGAACCACCTGCATTCAGCAAAGAGTACTTTGTACCTGGTATGTCTGATATCATTTTATCATTCTCAAGGTTCAAAAGATTTCAAAAGTCTAGCCAAAAAGGAACTCTTCAATTGTAATATCTATTTATATTATGTATATTATATATACAGATTATACAGTGTGTATATATAGAGAGAGAGAGCTGTAAGGTCATGCCGTATGCGAAGATGTGTGTCTGAATTCTCTGAATCAAAGTTATCCTTGTTTTTTCGCAGCTGAGTGCCAACTTGATCATCCCGAAAACCTGCCAAGTTAAAATATAGAAATGGAAACCCATTAGGATATGTTAGGATCATATGAATCATATGGATTATTTGATTCATCATATGCTTCCAGAATTTCCAAGTCTTCCAAGGCTTATCCGCCTCTCACTTTCTTCAATCTTACCTGCAACAGGCTGCGCGGCTAGTAGCATGTCGCGGTCATGTGAGACAAAGCACAAAAAAAAAACTTCCACTGTGACGGGACCCTTGCAAACACAAATGTGCTTCAAAAGAAAACAAGACTAACCATGACTAACCTACAACTGGTGGTCTACCTAGAAGTCAATTGGGGTTCCCATCTAAACACAGCTTCCCGTGCAGTTCCATGAACCATGCACCTTCTTGAAAGAGTTTGTTGCCAGTATCCTTCGCCTGGCCCATTTGAAACAAAAAAAATTGTCGCGACTGGCTAGAGTCTAGAGAGTGGGTACTCTGAAAATCTGTTGCCATCTGTTGCCCATCGCCTTCATGGGAAAGTCGTGGAATGCGATGAAAATCTGTACTACCTGTACCGTGAGTCTCTACTTCCGTCATTTGTCCCACCTTCTCGGCACCTGCCACGGAGTGCCTCAGAGAAGGTGCAGATTGGATCAAAGCTGGTGATAGACGGTGAATGATGGTGATTAGATGATATTTTTGTGTATGTGATATGTATATATATATATTATGGTAGCAAGTGGTAATGGATGGTACTGAAAAGCACAAACAGCTGCACCATTCCTCAACACCTGAATATATCATCAGAGGTCCGCTCTTGAAGCTCTGTGACATGAAGTGTCTGTTTCAAGGCGTCAAGTTTACACTTTCTGCTTGAGACATCATGCAAGGATCAGGTTGTGACACAGTTTGTCCATGTGTGTCCACTGGTTGGGAACCGTCTCCTTTCACCAGAATCAAAAGCAAACATAGACGCCCTGCATCAACTCATCCCAGACAGCTGATCCAACTCATCCAATGGCGTTCCAACTCCAACTCAGCTCCCACACTCCAGTTTGATGTCTGCAAAGGGCTCCGCAGGTGCCTAACCAGTATGCTGAAGCGTACACCAACAGCACCAATACCCTGAAGGGAAACCGGGAAAAACGTGTGTATAGTCATTGCAATCTCCAAAACAATATACAAACCACATGGGACGCACCGCATTCAGGAAGGCGGTGCAGTCTGTGTAAAACAAGGCAAAACACCATGTAGACGCTACATTTAGAAGTGCTATAGCTGATGCATCAAAGCTACTTTTTCGGCTAGTGAAAATGTGCACAACACCATGTGGACGCAGGTGAAAATCAACCCAGGTGGCATCCCCAACAGCAAAGTTAGTTAGAAAATACGGAAACAATTGCAACCCTGGCGAGGGGCACGACTTAATTTTGAACCAAAAATAAAGGATTTGCGGAACCACCCCCGGAACTTGCGCCGGAAGCTGCACCGAAGCTTATATCTGGGCTGAGACCCGAAAGCTAACGCTGTCTGTTGGGGAATAATATGCATATTATGATACACATAAGTATTAAACATCGTGTGTGTATGTATATATATATGTATATATATATAATTATATATATATATATTTATTTATTATGTGTGTGTGTGAGAGAGAGAGAGAGGGGAAAAAAAACACGGTTGTGGTTTGGACGAACCTAATCTCAGTACCAAGTGCTGTTTCTAGCAGATCACATCAATCAATCTGCAGTTGCCACCACCCCCAGCTGCAAACGCAGACCTCTTTCGGCTTTGCCGCTGGCTTTGCTTCCTCCTAAGAGTGGTGCAAATAGCAGCGGCAAAATGCTGAGAGAGAGAGAGAGAGCTTTTCACAGTATGCATATCTATCTATCTATCTATCTATCTATCTATCCATCTATCTATCTATCTATCTAATCTTTTCTTATCTTATCTTATATTGTTTTATCTTATCTTATATTATCCTATCTAAACATCCATCCATCCATCCATCCATCCATCCATCGATCCATCCATACATCCATCCATCCATCCATCCATCCATCTATCTATCCTATCTTACCTATCTTATCTATCTTATCTGTCTATCTTATCTATTTATCTTATCTATCTTACCTATCTAATCTATCTAGTCTATCTTTTTCTATCTAATCTATCTAATCTATCTAATCTATCTAATCAATCTAATCTATCCAATCTATTCAATCTATCCAATCTATCCAATCTACCCATCTATCCATCTATCCATCCAACATTCTAACAATCTATCCATCTATCCATCCATGCATCTATCTATCCCTCTATCTAGCTATCTATCTAGCTAGCTATCTAGCTATCTAGCTATCTAGCTATCTATCGATCTATCTATATATTATTTTCTTATCTTATCTCATCTTATCTGTTCTTATCTTATCTTATCCTATCTATCCATCCATCCATCCATCCAATCTATCTATCTATCATATCTATCTTATCTATCTTATCTATCTATCTTTTCTACCTACCTTATCTATCTATCTTATCTAATCTATCTAGTCTATCTAGCCTATCTTGTCTATCTAATCTATCTCATCTATCTAATATATCTAATCTATCTATAATCTACCTACAATCTATCTATAATCTATCAAAGCTATGTAATCTTTCTTATCTATCTATCCTATCTAATCTATCTAACCTACAGTATCTAATCTATCTCATAATCTAACCTATCTAATCTATCTAAACCAACTAATCTACCTAATCTATCTAACCCATCCAATCTTTCTAATCTATCTGAGCTATCTGAGCATGCTTTCTTTCAGTTTTCTTTCTTTCTTTCTTTCTTTCGTTCTTTCTTTCTTTCTTTCTGTCTGTCTGTCTGTCTGTCTTTCTTTCCGTCTGTCTTTTACCTATCTAGTCTACCTTTCTTGTCTAGCTATCTACCTATCTACTCTACCTATCTAATCTACCTATCTAATCTACCGATCAAAGTATCTAACTATCAAAGTATCTAACTATCTACCTATCTACCTGTCTACCCATCTATCCATCTATCCATCTATCCATCTATCCATCTATCCATCTATCCATCTATCCAT